CACTCATACACATACACAAAGAAACAATCTCACGATTGATAATAAGGTCCCATTTAACATTCAATATAGTCGATGATTATTATGAAGCGTCGAACATAACATAGAACGTGCTGAAGTATGTCATTACTTCTCACATTATTAAATTTGATAATCCATTATGTACAGTAAACTTATTACGAAGGACTTTTTAATATTTACACACATAAACAGTGATCATTTTATTTATCTACATCAATCAGCGCTTAGCGAATGCGCGAGCGCGGAAAAAGAACACACACACACAGTATTAAATATAATCATTTCGATGCGCGCACGAGAGAGAGATTGATGTTAGTTTTATAAGATATATATAAAATTGAGCTGTGAATTGGTTGTTGACAAGAGGAGTGCACATAAATTATATTGAATTTTATTGTGTGCAACTTAATACAATATAATATTCTAATTTAGTTTACATGAAATTATGAATATAAGGTATTCACGTAAGTGAATGACGGTGAAAAATGAAGAAAAATATCGAAAAAAAAGACACAGCATAAAATTATTTTGGTTAAATGCGCTGACAAAGGAACAAGGAAAAATCAATGTGAGTGTTTATATATATATATATTAGGACAAATTGATTTTGCTTAACCGATGCTCCCCAGTCGGTTAATAATAATGTTAGAGACGTTGTAATTACACACGAACTGTTCGAAAAAGGCGGTGAAAAGAGGAAGAAAGCTGAGTAAAAATCAAAAATGGAATTGATGAAGACAAGCAAAACTGCCGAACAACACAAACGACGAGTCGGGACGGGACATTGAGAGAGAGTGAGAGCAAAAGAGAGTGTTTATTATAAAACGGCCGAGCATGCAATCAGCGTGGACGTAAAGACAGAGACGAGATCATTCCAACTGGCGATGAGGGTAACACGAGAAGAGAACAAGGTGATAAAACATATTTAAGACGGACTTTCTCTCTCTCGCTCTATCTATGTATGAATATTTGCCTTGCAGCACTTATTACTGATCGATTGACTGACAATTTTGACATGAACATGTGTTAAATATTTTACGCTAATTATTATTATTAAATTTATCACAAAAGGGTTGAGATTTGCATATTTTTTTTCTTCTTCACTTTGTTTTTGCTTTGATGTGTGCAAGCGTGCGTCCATATCAATAAGACAACAATGAAAAGCCGGCATAATACTGAAATTTTGCAACAGTGGCGGCGCATCGACAGCTAAGCAAGCAGAACCGATGAAATTGTTTTCATAATTAAAAAAAAAAAACAACAAAAAAACGCATTTTAATTACAAACCAAACACTTTTTCATCAGCCGTGTTGCAAACGGTAATAATAAATCCTGGGGTAATAAAATAAACCAACTACAAAATAAGGAGCATGAAATAATACGGTCATTAATTTTCAGCGCTAATTTGCGGTTCAACTTGATACCTGATGGATGAAAGGCGGCGTTACAAGTTAATTTTCACTCCACATATTTTACACATTTTTTTCTCTCACTTTATTTAATTTTTTGTTTGTTTGATTTATATGTATTAACTCATCACTGAATCTATTTCGATGAGGTTCATAGATTCGTGTTCCGATGAATTGCTCTATTGAACATCGAGATTAGTCGTGCATTGTTGCAACTTTGTTTTACTTTTTATTTGCACGTGTTTTTCTTTTTAAACCCCGCATTTAGTTAACTACACGAAGAATTCTTGGTTACAGTTCCAGCAAGTTCGATACATCGTAAGTTTTGGTTACAATTCAGTGAATTCACACTGTTTGCAAAGAAAAAAGACGTCAAAGTCAATGCATTTGAACTTATCGACGGTTTCAACATTTAATTAAATCATACAAAAAATATTCACATTTGTTCAAAATAATGGAAAAATACGTCATGCATTCGAGAAGCAGAGAAATTGGATGAGGGAGCGCCACAAACAACAAACATTCAATAAATTCCAACTTCTTTGATTTATACTGCAAGCATTTACTTCTTCGGTTTTCGGTGTAGCCCATTTAAGTCGGTTTGATTTTCTGGTCTTGATTTCCGTCTAAAATCGATTACTTGACATTTCAATCGCGCAGATGTGTGACATTTTCATCTGTGCCACTTCTTTGCACACAGAATGAATGCCCCACCGAAGCGAAAGAGAGAGGGAGAGAGAGCAAAGTTCATTCGTTCGCTTACAGAAAACATAAATTTTCTGCGTCATTTATAACGCATCGAAAACTCAAGCCACATTTACTACTTTCGTCCGGTATTTTACGAACCAAGAGTCTTGAGCTGAGGCTCTTGCTTCAAGACAATTCTCAAGCTGAAGTCAATGCAAATGACTACTCTAATATATTGAGTGGAACCATTATTATGTCCAAATTATTTTTGGTTTCGAATCAAGTTATTTCACCATTTTTATATCGTCTCGTCGCAAAGTTATGAATAAATCAGCCGAAAATCAATCGATTTTAGCAAGTTTTTTTCCTCTTCCATTCATTATTATCATCATAATGCCGAAGTCAATAACCGCGCATGAATAGAGAAAAAAGGAAACTTTAACTTCGTCGAAAAAAGCAGGAGATTGCCAAAAAGTTGGTATGATTATGATGACTGGCTATGATTTGAATTCATTAATTTCTATATAAGGATGAACGTGGAAAAAATTGATGCGATGGAACGCTAGTAAAACGTTTGGAATTTGGCTTAATAACGCTCTGAATCGCTTTGAATGAATTTAGAGGAAAAAAATATAATATAAAACGTCAGCAGAGCTATAATCATAACTGTCGTTTAAGCAAAGCAAAAAAAAGACTTCTTATTGAAAGCACTATTAAGCATATCCAACACAATTTTCCAAAGTTCTTTCTTCTCCAATGAAGACAGTGGAAAAAAAACCGCCTGTAATTATTTAATGGATGAACTGTTTTTTTTTTCGTTTCTAAATTCACATTCCACACATCGTCATTTCGTTGTTGTTGTTGTTGTCGTAAACAAGGTGAAGGTGGTTTTTGTAACCAATTCCGAAAAGGGCATTCTCAAAACAGAAGACCGAAGCAAAAATATAAAAAAAACACCAACGTATGTAATTTTAGACGAAATTAAATTGTAGAGTGTTTGCATATTAGTGAGGCACATTTGTGTTGGGTAGAAGAAGGAATTTTTTTTTCCTATGAACCAATTTACCGAATGACTTTCGTTCTGCAATGATAATAGCCTTGAAGATGCATTTTTTTCACATTTTTCTGTAATGGCCCCATAATCATCTGGCAAAATAGCAACAACAACGTCGATGACGACGACGAATAAAAAAAATCACCAAACGTAATTGGAAAATTGACCATTTTATACATTCCGCGCATGGTTTTCTTTTCGTAAATCTAATATTTTTTCTAATTCTCTTGGCTTGGGTCAGGTTTTTTGGTTTCACCGCTTCAAAAGCTGAAATCCGAAATGAGGCATGTGAAAACGGTAATCTTTTTTTTTTGCAAACAAATGATTAAAAGACAGCGCTTGTATCGATTAATTCAAGAAAATGTGTGGCCTTAGTCATAACGATGAAAATTTGTGGCTATATGTGTACATGTATTCTTTAAGCCTATCTTAAACCTTCTTTTCGCGTTTTTTGCAATGAAAGAAAGAAAAATGTGCACCGTGGCTCTGACGATCCCATAGTTCAATTAATTTCCCGACAAGAGAAACAAAATAGGATATTAATTAACATTGCATAAATCTGAAACAATCTGAACATTCAAGAGTTTAATTTTACTGGCAAAATGTTATTAAAAGATGTGTACAGCAAATAAAATGCTAAATAAACGTACAATTTAAACGAACGAAACGAATAAAAAAAAGCAAGAAACAGTATTGCAAAAATACACGCTTATCGCCTTGGCGACGAATTTCGGATCCGACGATACAGAGTCCATGATAAAAAAGAGAAAAAAAAGCTTCATAAGATAGCGATGTGCGTTTTGGCTGCTGCTGCTGCTGCTGCTGCTGCTGCTGTTGTTGTTGCTCCATGTGTACGGTGGAGTAATGCCCATTTTCGAAAGGCAATGATAAAGACACGTTGCCTTTCGCTTTGCAATACGAAACATGTAGCATTAAATTATCATTTCCTTTATACGAGCGCCGCAAGTAAGAAAAACTCACAGCAGAAGCAGCAGCAGCAGCAGTAACCAAAAAGCAGAGAGTGTGTATGGCTGTTTGCATAGAGCAGCTAGCTAGCTATATTGTTTTCCTCCACATGAAGTGTGTGTGATGTACGCTCGTGTACCCGTGTACGTTCGTTCATTACACAAAGCAGAGAGAGAGAACGGAGCAGAGCAGAGCAGAGCGCGCCGAGCACACATCAGACAGCAAAAAACAAACTAGTGATTGGTTCAATTCAAATGGGCGTTCCCCCATACAAATTCGTTTTGTATACGTTTTGTATGCGCGCTTGTGTATGTAGATCTCAGTTTGAATGAATTAAACACAACTGGGCGTTACTTTACGGCTGTTATCGAAAGCAAACATCAGACGAATCGCAAGAACAAACGAAAACAGAATAATAAAATAGGACGAAAAAGACAGAAAAAAAAACACTCCAAGTTGAACGAACACAGTTAAAAGATATGAAGAGAAAAAAAAAACACACACACAACATGCACACATTTTCATTGAATTTATTCACTCGCACGAGTTTGCTTCAGTATATTTACAGCAACCAGTCGCTTAAACACATACACACACAAACGAACACGAAACGAAGACCACGACAGCAAGAGAGCAAAAAAAAACTTACGCATGTACAGCAGTTTTTGTGTTGAATCTTTTTTTTTCTATTTTCGCTTCAAGTTTTTCGTGTTCTTCACTCATCGCCCCGAGAAAAGTGAGTGAGTGAGCAAGCGAGCGAGCGAACGAGTGTGTTGGTGTTTGTGTGCGTGCGTGTATCATTATAGATATTGTGCAAGATACTTTTTTATGCTCGGTTTTGAATCGCCGTAAACTTGCCCAAAGTTAGTGTGCAACTGGCTACGTGTGAGCTCGTATATACTGTACGAACGCTGTGTACTTTTCACGAATTTCGCTCAAAATCGAACGATTTTTTATCATAACATTTTTGGTTTCTGTTTTCTTTGAATGAAATTTTTTCCGATTTTCGATGTGATGTAATTCGCTTCAATTTCTCAATAGAAAAGTTACAAATTTAATCGAAAATAAAGGAAATATTTGTTTAATTTTTTTGGTTTCTCTAAACATTTTATTGCGTGCGTTGACGAAAAAAAACTTTATGAGTGAACGAAAGAAAGAAAGAAAAAGCGTTTTGAATTCATTTGCGTGTCACATTTGCAATTGCAAAAATGAACCATTTTTAAAATAACAAATATTCAGTTGTCTGTGCGTTTTATTTTTAATTCTCTGTCGATTATAATCGGTCCGTGAGGTGCAACGGATTTGAAAGAAGAGAGAGAGAGAAATAAAGAAAGAGGAGAATAAAAGAGGAAAATTAGTGGAAAAACACATAAACAGAAGCGCAACGTTAATTTCATAATACAATTTTTTTTAATTCAATTCAGTGAATTTGAAACATTTTCATCCGAAGCGCTGATATTATAACACGAACGTTACGAAAATGTTAACGGATATGACACCGACGGCAGGGCAATTTTATGGTTCACAAATACCGTCAATGGGAATGAACATTACGAATATTGCCAACCATATGCAAAAGCCGACTATGAGTAACGTGAGTTCAATACACATCACATTTTTATCTTATTTTTTGTTTAAAAGAAGAAAAAAAAACCATAAAAATTTATCAAAAGAAAGGAGAAGAGAAATGAAAACCACTAGAATGTAATCTATCTGTGAATTAGCTATGAAAACCGCGCGCTGAATGGTTTTAATTCCAAGAGAAAAAAAAACCCAAGAACAATCAAATCTGTTTACGAACAAACAAAAAAATAAAAACGAAACCTCAACCATCATAAAGTCAGTGAAATTTTGTTAGGCCATTGTGCAATCAAGATAAAATAACGGCAATTTTAGCAAAACGACAAATGAGTAGCGCCCGAAAGATCCAACCAAAACGAAACACAAAAAAATCATTCGTTTGCCAAACGAACAAAAAGGAAATACACGAAATCGGACCGGAATGTATTTTTATGATTTATTCCAATAACAACTCACACACATGATAAAAAGAGAGAGAGAGAGAGAGAGGGAAAAAAGATGAAAAATATATTAACAGCACCCAGAATTTCCAGGTAGAAAGTCAAGTAAATGGACCAAAAAGAAAGAAAAAAAGAAGCATATTTAGAATGAGAGCCGCCGACCAACTAACAAAAATTGCCGCTTTTAACTTCTTTTTATCTTGTATCGGCGCTCATTTCAAATGTTGAACAACGAGAGAGAGAGAGAGAGAGAGCAAAATAAAATAACTACAGTGATCCAAAGGAACACAGAAAAACAACACAACACAACCATACACAGAAAATTGCTAAACCAATTTTGTAACACTCCAATCTTACAGCCAATTTGTTTCATGTGTTGAAATCCCAAACCGAAAACAAGTGAGCCACAGAGAGAGAGATTTGAGAGCGATCGCAAGAAGAAAAGATGCCGAAGATAAGGATGGAGAAAAGGAGCAAACTAAATCGAATCTTTCCTAAATCAAAGTTGCGACATGTTTTCGTGTGAAGGATCATCCAGGTCTTCTTTCTTTTCCAGTCTAGACTAGCGCGTTTCGTATAATTTGAATTGTTCTCTCACTGTGTTTGTGTGGATTATTCGATAATTATGCATACGAAATGGGAAAATTTCGTTGTTGGTTTGCCACAAAACGAAACAAATCTGACCGAATAATTTATTCTCAATAATTGTTTTGTTTCCTGCGCCTCGTGATAGGTGCGTTTCAACAATGTGACTCACAACAGTTCCTGCTCCGTTTCACCAAGAAAAAAACTTTTTGTACGTGAATCGAAGTTTGAAAAAAAGACAGAAAAAAAATCGTATTCAAAAATCGACGTGATGTTTAGACTTGGCGCTCAACTTCATTGCCCATTTCCAAATTAAAACTTGATGAGCTCTCTCGCTTTGCTTTCCATAAGTTTTCTCATTTCGTTTTTTGATGATTTCGAATGGCGCTTCGCTCTTGTTGTTCTTTTTTTCATGTCCGTTATTGTTTTTAGTTTTGTATATTAGCGCGGCGTTTGTAGAAAAATTCAGACCTTAAAAAAAGCATCAAATCATTAATCATTAATAATTTACGGCAAAAAAAAAACACAAAACGCACAGAAAACTAACGTCAATATTCTTACAGCCAGTGTGTGTACACGAAACACTGAAATATGACTTAAGAGAGTACAAAATGTGTGTATCGTTCAACTTGTTGTTGGAAGCGTTAATCGTGTGCGGCTCTCTTTGGTGTTACATTTCAAAACTATGACCGCCGGGCTACGGCGACGACTGTCTGTCCAAGTCAGTTGCAATGGTAAAATGCCTTTTTGTTGCAATTCGCATCACATTTCGCAGACTTTCTCCGATTGATCTGGTTCCGAAGGACAGCGATCAATTCAAACACATAATTTAGACATTTTGAAATGAAACACGACACATGGAAAATGCCATTTCAAAATGGAAAGTTAATCTTTTGATTGAGATTGGTTTATCTTGACCATTGGATTATCTCCATTGATGAGTGTTGGAAGACACTTTATTGAACTGACTGTAACCATCTCCTTGGGATTTGTTTTGAAATCATTCACATCATAAAAATGTCAATGATACTGCATTAGTCCATCCATTTTACTAAAAATTCATTCATCGAATCATGAATAGAATCATGAATCATCAAAAAAAATCGTCCAAGAATCAGTAGCTCATCTAAGTCGAAATTAATTAATTCCGAACATTTATTTGTGTCTTGAGATCATTTATCTTGAGTCATCGTAAAATTTCTCAAACAATGTTGAAAAGAGTCCTTCCCATCATTGTACTCTACCGAAATATTGATAAATCTTTGGACAATGTTCGACAAATGCGCACATAATTAAGAGCCTTAACCTTGTTGAAGAATTCCAATCGAAAGTTCTTCTACACAAGAACTAAATTCATTTATCACTAAGCGACCATCATGAGAATGGAGTCATTTCGGTTATTCGAGAGCATAATTTGTGTGTCTGTTTTAATGAAGCATCAGTAAATAATTCCATGCTGTTTCAATGTTTTCATTTGAGCCTGATCGCCTCAAATTAAATCTGGAGACGCGTTGTGCTCGGTGAAATGTGATACACAAAGCAAGAGCTACCCCTTTTCAACACGCCAATGCAGTGTTCATCACGTCAACAAACGCACACTCGGAAAACCCACACATGTTTTGTGTTTGGCGCGATAATTATTTTAATTTGAAGTGTAAAATTACGCCGATAATCTTCTTTTTTGTCGTCGTCGTTGTCGCCATAAACAACAAATCATTAGAGAAACAGTAGACAATATGTGTTGCATTTCAACATGATCTCAAACGACGATTTTTTTTTTGGTGAGAATCGAAAATTGAAACGGTGCCACAAGCCGACATGACATCGTTTACCAAATTATTTCAAAAATTAAATTAAACCGATGTGCGTACGTCATCAAACCAATATCACTGTTCAACAGTCATAAATCTCTTTGAATGCGTGAGTGTGCGTCTGTTCACCAAAATGGGCTGTGTGGCGTGGCGTGCGGCACATACAGTGTTTTCAGCACACGACCACTGATTTTCTAACAGCCAGAACAATTGATGAAAAATTCCTAATGAATCTCTATGTCACAACGTCGTCATTTCGGCCGAAAGCAATTTATTTCGTCTTCATTATTTGTGGATACTTAAATCTTCATTAGAATAAATTGCTTGTCGTTAGAATGAACCGTTTTTATGGTCTTTGAAAAAAGTATCACAATTTTAATTTGCTTCCTTTTTGGAATCTGTTCGGCCATGGGTCGAAATATGCATAATGTGAAAGAAAAACCGGAATCGTTACCGTACGGTTTAAAAACGTTTTTGAGGTAGAGAAAATGGCGTCAATGAAAAAAAAGAACGGATTTTTATCCCTTGCCTACTATGCAATTTTGAAAAAAAAATGCGTTTCGAATCCCCTTTCTACAATTGCAGCCATATTTATTTCGGAATTCCGTTTTTATTTGTCGAATGTGCGCGTTGCGTTGCAAACAAAGGAAAAACATAATTTTGTCATTGGCGAGACAACTCCGCAAATAATTGATGATTCAAATTTCAGTTGTCGACGATGTGAAAGAGAGAGAGAGAGGAACGGCTTACACAAAAAACAAGAAGAATGTGCCATTGTCGATGATTATTATTGTAATTTTAACCTTCATCCGAAAACTATATGATTATGTTTTACCGTTTGCACCCGGGATATTCGGTGCTGTGGCATGGACGGCGAGCATCGCAGGCACAGCCTATTGGTATTCATGTCGAAACATTTATACAGATGGATTTTGTTGTGAACATACGACAAAGTGCATATTATAGTTTTTTTTTTGTATTGTTGATGAAAAATGATTATTATACTCGTGGTATGTTGCATCCAATATCTCTCTCACTCGCTGCTGAGATAAACTAGTTTCCTGTGGATGTATTCACATCTCTCTTTTTTCTACTGCGGCTGCTGCCGTTGTTCTCGATCGCACACGCTTTTTTTTCTTCTTTCTCTCTCTCTCTCTCTCTCTGCGATGTGCGCCGAACTTTTGATATAGTTTTTGGTGGTACGTACTGTGTATAAAGGGTGCGCTATGTAAACCTATATTGTTGAAATTGAACACACTGCATCCAGGTGGGAGAGGCGAAAAAAATGGCAATGGGAACTAACCAGGACCATTGCGAACAACAAAAAACAGCGCTCACCAAACGGATATCACGTTGATATGTGCGCTTAGTAGCAAAACATAATCCTGTTTCAAACACAACACACACACACACACACACACACATCAGAGGGAAAAAAAACTCAATCCTTCCTCCTTTCTGCCGATTGAAATCTCCGTTTTGAAATACAAATTATATGCCATCCTTCCTCTCTCTCCCAGCGCTCCCTTTTGTCATACCAAAATCACCAACGTAACTCCGTTTAATTGTAATTTGAGATCGCACCAAAGGAAACTACCTCACCGAAAAACAGCGAAAGCATTCTCCGTTTGTGTTTCGAATAAACAGCTCGGCAGGATTTTGATAGATGATGAATGCATTAACCGATCTTCCTTGGTGGAATATCGCCATTTTTCTTGATAGGCAATATAATTTCGTTTGCCAATGCGTCAATCGACCACGGCGATTCGACATTACTGCTTCGAATGCTCTTTCGTGTTGGGCTTCGCCGTTTTGACGTCGCGCTGTCAATGGGTGTACATTTCGTTGATTCAATCAAAGGCTGTTTAATTGAAAAGAGAACGCGAATGTCACGAGTCAAAAAACCGTTGGATGATTTGGTGTGTGCCGTGCGCCAAAGTCGAGCCAACCGTGAGCCATGCTGTGCTGTGCTGTGCTGTGTGTCACATACTCAGCTTGAACAAATCACTTGAATCGATTGTCATAACGAGGCGCGTCCATAAATATTTCATCAGCATGTTGTTCATGTCGTTTATTCGGTTGTCTCTGCATCGAATATTTCGATTGGAAAAATCGCTTTAGACCACTTTTCACTCTTGTATTCGTGTTTCGTTTCGGAAAAGTGTTTAAACTAAAAC